ACAACTAGAATTAGTATATCAGAAGTTTGATAAAATATTGGTTAATGCTCGTAATTTAAAGATATCATTAGAAAGGAAATGGGTGGTACCATCAGCAACAGCAAGGAGGAGTCCATCACCGACCAATACTACTACAACCCCTACTACTACAACAACTAATAGTAATAGTCCTACTGCTAACACTAACACACAATAACATAATCATCATTATTATTATTATTATTGTTATTATTCTTATCATCATAATCCCATTTCTACTACATAAGCATTTCTGTACCGCACCATCTCTTGTTATTTGTTATTACCCCTTCTTATTCACGTCCTAATCATCATCATCATTAGTAGTAGTAGTAGGAGGGAAAGTCCTGTTATTGTTATTATGCCATATTCTCCTGGATCGGTATTGGCTGTTGATGATGATAATGTCCAAGTTAAGAAGGATCCCCCCTCACTCCAGAGTTGCGATTATTATGGTAATGATTATTAATATACAACAACAACATGATGATGATGATGATCAAAGTGGTGGTAGTAGTATTCATCATGATGTAGGTAGTCATGATGATGATGATGATGGTCAACAACAACATTATCCCAATAACACATCCTCATTACAAAGACGTATGTTCATGTAATACACTACTACTATTCGTACTATTGGTGGTATGATGAATTTCATTGTTATTATTATTGTACTAAATGTAATTGTGATGATAGATTCTTTGCTATTGCCCAGTTCCTACAGATAGGATCTTATTGGTTAATAAGACCGGTTAAATCTGGTATATTTGCCAGATTAGTTGGAGATGATAAAGAAGCATTAGTTAGGATTATTCTAACACCTGTAATAATAATTATACTTCATTAACAACAACAACAACAATTACATTATTGTTATTAGATGTTATTCTTTCTATTGATTGGATATAACATACTTATACAGACGACGTTCATGTCACCATCATCATCAACAACAACATCAACGGTGGTGGGTTATCTAGCAGCACCCTTTGCTATAATATTCATATCATCATGGTTATTAATGGTATGTGTAGGATTAGATAATACACCTGCAATTATTGGATGGGTAATAATACCATTACTACTACTACTACTACTAGAATTATTATTATTACATGTATAGATACTAGCATTAGCATCGGAGTGTATGTGCCCGATATTAGTAACACTTAATTGGTCTATCATATCACAAGCAGCTAAGGATTATAGTAATAATAAAGGATGATATGATGAGGATTTTATTCAATGTTCACCATAATGAAATTAATCATATGAATTATTATCAGGTTCTAGTATAGCAGCAAAAGCATTCCCTATGATTACCATGGCATGCCAATTTGGCTGTTTATTTGGTAGTACAATAACCAATTATCTCGCTATACTCACTAAAGGTGATAATGACAATGATGATGTTGATGATGCAGGTGTTGGGACTATGGTAATAGTATTACTATTAACATTATGACATTCTCCTCATGTTGTTCCTTCTTATTCTTCTTGTTCTTGTTGTTAGACTATGTTATTACCTGTATTATTGTGTGGTCTATCATTATGTGGTATGTGGGCATGTATGGTTAAGGCTGATTATTGTCATATTCGAGATATTGCTCATCGTGGTGCTCGTAATCATCATCATCATCAATCACTATCATCATCATCATCATCATCCATACATCTGATACATGATGATGATGGTAATAATAATGATGATAGTTGGGTTAATCAATATCAACAACAACAACAACATACTGCTAATAAGAAGAATATCCCCTTTAAAGCTGTATCAACATCATCATCAACATGGTATACCACCAAGATGATAGTAGATGGAATTCGTGCTTCTACAAATGGTCTTACACGTATCATTAGGTCCTATTATGTTTTATCTATATTCATAGTATCAACAGCATATGAATATTTTGATACAGTATTCGATCTACAATTAAAGCATTTATTTACTCAGAAGGCTATACTAGATTGTCAGGGGTATAATGATAATGATGTTGTTGATGATGAATGTAGACATGCACACTTTCTAGCCAATTATTCACGTACATCTTTACATGTTGCAATACTATCAACATTACTTGCTATAGCTAGTGCAATATTACATGCTAAAAATACACATACAACAACAGGGGAGAAGGAGAATGATGATGATGATAAGGACACTCAGACACTGGGAGTAATATATAATGATGATAATGAAAATGTCAAGAATACATCATCATCATCATTATGGTATAAGATAAGAACATCATCATCATTACTACATCCATCTTCGTTATTTGGACCTACTTTCCCATTGTTAATATATCCAATACTTGTTGGTATATGTTTCTCTGTTATTGCTATTACTACTACCATTAATGATACAAGTATGAGTGCTCTAGTACAGTACAATCCATTAATTCGTAATATATACTATCTAGTGGGTACTACTGGTACAGCATTAGTAAGGAAACTATAGCTGTACAAA